CATTTGGTTTGAGAAATAATAGATAGCGTTCGACAATTCGCAGACATTTTATGAATTTGTAATTATTTTACTGTTTTGTATTGCGCACCCGTGGCGTACTCACATACACTTGAGCCACTTCATCATGTTTCGAGTTATATATGCATAGTTACTGTTATTTTACTACAACCGTACCATATAGTAAACTATGCATGCTTGTATGTATTTATGTATGTATATAAGTGAAATCTGTTTTATAATTGTATTTATTGTAATTGCTAATTTGCGCATGAGTTAAGCGCTGATATAATGTTTCCTCGGATGTTTTTTGCAATAATCAATTTTCGAGCATTTTCATTTTTCCCTACTTCACTTTGTAGATTGTTAGTCAAGACATTTATTCAGATTAAACTTTTAAATTTCAGCGTTTAATTGATGTGTGTATGCGTGTGAATTTATTAATGTTGGTAACTAGAATATTATCTATTTATTTAATTGGTGTTACGGCTGCTGGATATTGTTTCGCTCTTGCTCCTTTTGTTATTGTAAATATTTTTTAAAATTGTTTTGCATATCATATGCATATTGCAGTTATGTATTACAAATCCGCAGTCTTCACATCAGCAGATATAGCATTCGGTTTTGTCTTCTCATCCACATGGTTATCCTCATTGGTAACGGCGTTTGGTGCGTCCACAATGTCCTTAAAAAGACGTGCATATTTGAAACGTTGCTGACATTTAGCACGGTATAGACTCAATTCCGCATCGCAATCGCCGAAAACACCGTCATGCAGCGCTTCGTAGATTTTTGAGGCTTCCTTTACGAGAAGAATAAAATAAAAGGGTATATTAATAAAACACACAAGAAAAAAAGCAAAAAAAAAAAAAAAAAGCAAAAGAAAAACAACGCAAAAAAAAAAAAAAAAAGCAAAAAAGAAAACAAAAACAAGAAAAAAAAACAGAACAAAATAACAAGAAAATAACGAAGAAAATAGGTTAACTTCTGCTACACCGAAGCTATAAAACCCTTCACAGGTGCATTTCTTCTAGTATAAAAGAGTATAAAAAGATATTTATCTTGATTTTGATAGGTCAGTTTGTATGGCAGCTAGAAGCTATAGTAATCCGATCTGAACAGTTTCTTCGGAGATTGTACCGTTGCCTTGGACAATGATCCATTCCAAATTATATGAAGATAGCTCGTGAAATAAAAAAAATTCCCATGCAAGCACTTGATTCCGATTGTTCAGTTTGAACAGCTTCTTGGTGAAAAAAGGGCGTGTGCAAAATTTCAGATCGATAACTGAGGGACTAGTACGCGTATATACAGATGGACAGACAGACAGACGGACATTGTTAAATCGACTCAGCTCGTCACGCTGATCATTTGTATATATAAGCTTTATACTCTCCGACGTTACAAACATCGTGGCCAACTTATATACCCTGTTCAGGGTGTAATAATTCAAATATTTGGCAAATTGACATCACTACTACACTACTCACTTCAAGTTTAACTTTATTTAAGTCGTATGAGGTAATCAAGTTGATGGCGGTATCCCGTTTACTTGGCTCCAGTTCATACATGATGCGTGCGCCTTCGTAGAGATGCATCATGGAAGCATCTTTTTGCACCACAAACTCTTCGTTAAGTTGTTGTACACTCTTTGTACCTATCAGTTCTTTGGTGGCCTTGTCAATGACAATTTTAATGCTCGCATTCAACTCGGTGTTAGCTGTCAGCTTGGGCAATGCCTGCGCTAGCCTAGCTATGCAAGCGTGTACCGATGAGTGCGTCGCATCGATTGCCATAGCACGTCTAATGGATTGCAACATTAAGAGAAGCTTGTTTTTGCGGCAGTATATCTCGAATGCCAATAAATGCGTTTCAATACGATCTTTGGCCAATTGTTGTAACGGTTTCAGAAATTCAATAGCCTTTTCGAGTGGATCATCCGGTCGCTCTAGCTTCTCTGGTATAAGCTCATCCAATTGCGGCGCTTCTGGATCGGCTTCTTGGTTTGCTTGCTGCTTGGATTTCTGATGTTGCTCGCGCTTGACTTGCGCTTGTGCCGCTTGTGCGTTTTCAAGTTCGGCTTTCTTCTTGGCTTTGCGCTGCTTGCTGCGCAACTTTTTCAGTTCCGATGGCGGAAGATTTTCTGCAAGTTTATATGAAATTAAGTTAACTTAAATATCCCATATACTTAGTAAACATAATTCATACCAGAATCAATTTCTTCAATGGTTTCTTCCGATTTAAGTGGTTTATCGTATAAGCGTATGTACACCTAGAAATAAATTTCGGAAATGAATACATTTGAATAAAGTATGTCCTTTTCACATTTTTACTCACCTCAATGGCACATCTTGCCGCTTTGAAATAGAAAGGATGACGACGTAACACATCTTCTAATCGCAATAGTCCGATATACGCACGTAACGTCATCTTGCGCATACAGTATGTATGGAAGTCGAACTGATCTTCTATAATCTCCGAAAAGTGACGGTCCACTTCATGACACTTCTTCAGTGCATCACCCCAACGACCCATGCGCTGGTAAGCCAGTGCACATTCCGTTTGGAACCACATGCATTGCATTTCATTTAGGTTCTCCATGGCAGTAACACCCTCACGTGTGAATTTCGAACAAATCTCTTCAGCCTCCTTGACCATATTGGCGCGCAGCATATATTTGGCGCATTTTGAGTTGATATAGCTGTGGCAATTAAATAAAAAATATTGTATTACAACGAAATAAAAATATAAAATCCATATAAATAAATTACTTTTAGCTGAAATTACTTGAATCAACTCAAACTCACCGATCAGCGGTGTCCATACTCTGCGCTTCATCCATCCACATATAGGCTTCCACGGGATCTCCAGCATGCTTGTAGATACGTCCCTTGGTCATGAATAACTCAATGAGCGTGGGTGTATGATCAATAGCCGCGTTTACGTATTCTAGGGCATGTTCTGTGTCGCGTTTGTAGTCGTAATGTTGTGCCAAAAACAAAGCAGTCCATACCAGCGCTGACGCCGGCTCCACAGGTAGATTTGCATCGGCATCTTCTCTCGAGAAGTGCCCCGAACGTGTCAAATTTTCATAATATTGTAAGGCTAGTTGTTCGATAATTGATGCCTTTTCTGGCACACGATGTAATACACGAACATTTACGAATAATGGCGGTACGCCTTTACGCAAACCACGACGTAGATAAGAATCAAGTGCCGACCTAAATGCATCGCCACTTGCCACATCCAATGGCAAACGTTTAGGACACATGGCTCGCGGGTAAATTTCCTCAAATTTTTTGAAAGCAGTTAACTTATCTGCGGGATCCGTGAATTGACGAGCTGCAAAGTATTGCGAATAGTATAGTGTGTTCTCGGGATTTCGATGAATCAACTCCTCAAAAATAGGTACTGCTAATTCGGGTTGTCCGAGTTTAATATACAGATCGCCAATTGACTCTTGCACCGCCAGCTTATCAACAATTTGGCTCTCGTATTGTTTTAAATGTTCGAGGGCGCGCTGAAGATTACCGGCTTCTACGAGGATTTGGTTTTGATACAATAAAAGTTCCGAATGGCGATAGTCATGTGTTTCCTACCAGTAAAATATATATATAACAAAATAAATTAATGGGGGTAATATTTAAGATCAATTCATTAATCTACATACTATAGATGCCTGTGATTGGCTAAAGGTTTCCAAAATACTATTGGCCATTTCCAGATCTCCAATTAAGTGATAACTCATAGCAAAACCAATCCAACTAGCATGTTGCGAAGGTCTCAGTGTAAATAGATGATGGCGGGTTTCCTTATAACCTTCTAGATCACGCATTTGTATCTGTAGCAAGGACAGATCCTTAAGAATTTGCAGATTATCCTTTTCCCATTTCAATGCATTACGATAACATTTAATTGCCTCATCATACTTTTTATCACTGCGCTGCAGTAAACCGTATACATGCCAGCAAACGTGGGAACGTAGATCTCTGCGCAGTCCTAGGCGTACATATTTGTACGCCTCTTCTCGGCGCCCCAGACCATTAAGTGTTAAACCTTTCATCGCCAACGTTTCACCATGTTCTGCATATTTGGGGTTTGATAGAATCTGCTTTGCCAGTTTCAAACCATTTTTGTACTGCTTCATTTCGTAACATTTCTAAAAATAAAAATCATTGAATAGAATAATTATGTATTACATCAAATTTTTAGTCAATTATTAAAAGAAAATTTTAAAAATTCGCATTATAATAGCTCTGCACCCCATTATTCACCCGCTAACCGCATTTGAGGTTATGTTTTCACAATATTTTGCACGCAAATATTCCTAACTTATTCCTATAAATTTTATTTATCCTATTCATTAAATAAAATCGTTACAGTTAATACAGTACTAAATCATATTAGGAAAATGTACTACAATTTTTTTCAAAACCCGCGGTTCAAGGATGACTCGTAGAAACATGTATGTCAATGGAAATAGTTTTGATGCCGCTTTAGACGGAAAATTCCATTTAATGATAAACTTTTATTTGTATGCTATTTATGAGCATTTGAAATATAGTACATCTATGAAACTTCCATATATTTCTGCACCTACCAGCAGCTTCCTGAAGAGCGCACTCTCTTTGGGCGGCAGTGGATCGCTGGAAGGCATCTTGCACACTTTACTTTTAACAAACTTACAAGCTTCACACTATTTGCACTATCTACGTTAATACAAACGGAATACACCAATCCTTCACAGAAATTTTCGCCACGGACGGTGAAAATTTTCACAAAAGTTCCGTGGAAGCTTGACCACGAGCAAAATTGAGATGTCGATCCGTGCTCGACAGAAAAGAAGAAGAAGGCAAACAGAGCAGTATTGGACACACACACGCACAAATAGTTCAATTAGATATGAAGGTAGAATTGTCAAAACGAGCAATTGACTTATAGTTCTTTTTATGCCAGACTTCAATATTTAAGTTAATTATTTGAAACAAATTTTCTTTTATGCTCTTTGATTTCGAAAATGTGCTTCATCTGTAATTTGAAAATTTATTGTCAATCGTTGATAGCAAAATCAGTCTCATTTTGCTTTTTTTACTCTGTATAGAAACAAAAAAGCGAATTTTCATATTTTCTAAATATGGCATCTAAACACAATTTATACGGCCACTGAAATGTAACTGCACAGATATATCGAACAGATCTATCTGCCAACTCGCATCAGCTGTTCTTACCAATTGAATAATAAACTCCAGAGATAATTGCAAGGAAGCATGAATCAATTGACCAACAAAATTGGCACTTTTGTATGCCAAAGTGTACAAATTGCTGGCTGTGGTGTAAGTAAAAAGTTTATTTTGACATTATAAACTAATTGAAAGTACTTTTCAACAGCTCCAGCAAGTGCGCACCAAATATGCCGATTGGCGTATGATACGCGATGTTAAGAGGCGTAAATGTGTGGCTGAAAATGCCAAAGAGCGACTACGAGTAAATGCTCTACGCAAAAATGACATCCTACCTATAGAATTACGTGAAGTAGCTGACGTCGAGATTGCTGCCTTCCCTAGAGATTCGTCTTTGGTGCGTGTACGTGAACGTTGCGCACTTACTTCACGTTCTCGAGGTATTGTACACAGATATCGTCTAAGTCGTATCGTATGGCGACACCTGGCTGATTATAACAAATTGTCGGGCGTACAGCGCGCCATGTGGTAAATTGTTGCAGATTTTCTTTCAATTATCATGGAAGTAATATTTTGTAAATAAATTTAATATATATATGTATTTAAAAAATAATACAATTATTTTAAATGAATTATACTAGAATTGGTAGTTCTGATTTCAATTCCTGCAGGCTTAAGCTGTTACATGACATGGCCACAGTACGCTTATACCTGTCTTTGCATATTTCAGGATATTTTTCCGCAAGCAAGTTGATAGACGCTATTAAACAAGTAAATATGGCTTAGTTTCCTGGTATATATGTATTTCATATCTATTATATTCAATAATTACCTATTATTGACTTTTGCAAGCGAACTTCAGGTCCTTCGTAGTGCAAAAACATCATATCTAACGCTTTTTTAATGAATGTTTCCCAAATTTCGTGTTCAAAACCATCTTTCTCGTCCTTACTTTTGTTAAATTTAGGACTTAATTTTGGTATGACCATCGCAGCTAATTCACGTATACCAGCAGATGGATCATCTAACCGCTGCAAGGTAGCTGTAAAAATTATAAATTAAACTTGTTGTATTACAAAAAGTAATTTAAAATACATACCGTAAGCAATTGGTTTCAATTGTTCCACATCTACTTCTCCAAAATTGAACAGACACTTTACTGAGTAGTGACGAGTTGCGACCGAACGATCTTCTAGTAAACTCGGAATGTATTTTCCAACGCATCCTGGCAACACTAAACGAGCTTCTTCAACAGCACCTTGCGACATAGCGCATAATGTAGCCATGGCCAGGGAGCGCATTGCTTCTGCATTTGCCCCGGCATGCCAAAGCAAATGTGGTTCTATTACTGATAGTACAAAAGTCTGCAAGAGTTCTGTACTTTCACACAGTTGTCGATTAATAGTTTCAGTCCAGTGTAGCATAACAACAGATATGCTAGTGAAAATCTTCACTTTAGCAGAATCATCACAATTCTTCCAGACTAAGATTATTTTATCTTGCAATTGTTGCAGATATGTTGCGCGTAATTTAGCTATATTGATCAAACCATTTAACAGTATAATGGGCTCGGTCAAATCATCTAGCGACGCATCTAGATTTTCTACATAATTTAAGGCGCTGACAAAATAGTTTTCATGTAGAACGTCAACAGTGATTTTTTGGCGTTCTGCCAGTTTAGTCAGTATATGTTGACCTAAATCTTGCAGTTCTACAGCATTCGTTTGCTCAGAGTCAAATGATAGTGCCATAACTTTAATAGTCGCTACATACGAGTTTAAAACGAGTTTATCATACTCAAACTGCTCTTCGACTACCTCTGATTTTGACAATACAGTTTCAATTAATTTCAGTACATACAATTGGACTTCTGGTCTGAGCGTCTGTGAAAACTCTATATTAATTAACATTTCAGAAACACGAATAATATCTTCGACCTTGCTGTCTAAGCTAGCAGTAAACATTTGGTAAAAACATTTCAAATATCCCTCTTTGGCATTTTTTGCCAACCCATCGAATCCATGTTCGATCCAATCGTCATAAGAGAATAGTCGGCCCATTAAATCGGCAACTTTCATAGCTTCAGTAGACACAATAGTGTCAGGATCACGACAGGCGCGTGCAATATCGCCATAAATTTCGAAGAATTTTGCAGTCATTGCTGCCTCCGCATGTAGTACGAACTGATAGAGCAACTTAAGAGAATGAAGGCGCACATTAACTTTCCAATCGTTCGATTCGCGCGTGATTAAATTTAATAGGCGTAGTGAACGTTGCACTATTGCTCGACAACCAATTGTAGGGCGTTCAACGCCGGGTGGATAGTTTTTTACAGGCAAATCGCCAATTTCTTGTTTGCTTAATTCCTCCTCATTTTCATCGTAATACTGCTTGCCACATTTAATCCATTGCGGACGTATTAAATCTACCACTTCCGGCGAGTCATCTTTTAAACTTTTAATGCAATTATTAATTATTATTATTCAGTAAATAACTTTATGAAAGGCCAAATTGCTTACCAACATAATATAAAAGGTATAATGCGGTCGAAAAAAGAATAACGATCTCTTAATTCCAAAGCTAACAATATGCCCAGTTGACCACATTCGCGACGAACGAGTGGCATTCCATCCATCAACAGCGGTGACACTTCCATTATCAATTGAGATAAAGTGTCATTTTTCGGATCTGCATGTAACGCCAAACGACCAATGGCCTCCACAGCTGATATACGGGCTAACGAATGTTTATGATTTAACATGCCATAAAGTGGTTTTGTCAATTTTTCAATAAATGGTTGTATTGCCAATGTGTCCGTAGCGTTCATTAACGCTACCACACATGCACTTGACTCTCTCTGTACCGCAGGGTAAGCGTCCCGCAAGGCTTTCGCCAAAACGGAAACGATTTCAGTATAGCACTCCTGGAGTGACCGCTTATTTCCCGTACCCGTATACTTTTGTATGAGCGTTAACAATTGTTGTATGTAGAGCAAACGAATTTCCTCACTTGACTCCAAGGTCTCCTGTTGTCCCATACGCTCCACCAAGGTTGATATGATATTCATTAAATGGAAGTCATTTGGGGGCAATTTGTTTACAAATTCGGTTACCGTTAGCACTGCCTTTTCGCGCACACTCTCGAAACGATCGGAATAACATTTTAGCAAATGTAAGTAGATCTCATCGAATATACAATGCAATTGTGCATAAGATTCATTTTCACAATGATCTTGTATGAGATTCAAAGCTGAAAGCTTGGTTCGGCGTTCATCCGACTGCAGGTTGCTACACATTTCCTCCATGTTTAAAGACATCTTGTGCTATTCAAAATTTGTCAAATATTTATTGAAAATAAATAATCAGAAATTACTAGATTTTTAAGCAAAAATATGTTGCTAGGTGACATGTTACCGCCTTCTCAAGTTTGTTTTGCTTTGTTTTTGGTTTTGCAAAATATTCACATTAAAATACTGTCATCGGTTTAAATAGTCATTCTCAATTGAATAAATTGTGCATGCCCGAATTGACACGGCGTAATCTGGCAGCTCTGATTTAATCAGCTGATCAATTTGAAACAAATCCTTTATCAACAACTGCCTGCAATCGTATAACGACGAAAACTGATTAATAATAAACAGGTTTACAATAATAATAGTGACAAATAGGCGACATCATACATGTTTATAAACAATAAACAAATTGCATTATTAAACACCTAACAAAATTAAAGAAGTGCAATGAGTGATTTAAGCGATAAAGTCGTTGCGGCGAAAACGGCGTTATTTGGCGCTTTGGGTGAAAATGCCCATAAATATTTGGCAAACATGAAGTTGTGGTTTCGTTATAAATGGTCCAAAGAAGAATTTGATAGTGAATCAAGAAAATTTCTTACGCCCGATAAAATGCATTTACACAATCAATTTCTGATTACTATACTAAACAAAATCGACGCATTTCAAACACCAGAACAGTCACCGTCACTTTTCGTATCACACAACAATAGCGGTCCTGCAGGCAGTACAACTGGCACCGCTAGTGGTGGTAGTAGCAGCAGTCGTAGTCGTAAACGCAAAAGAAGTTCAAGAGCGGTCAGTGATCGTGTCACTTTCGAACCATATGATTTTCTTGACTTCATAGTTGAAGACAATTTAGAATGCATTAAGCCCACGGCGGGAACCGATGCTAATGTACAAATATTGCCCACACAACGTTATTGTGTACAAGAGCTGTTTCTGCCCGATGCGGGTTTTGTGCTGGGCCGTTTTCTTATTGGTGCTTGGGAAGTGGGATTAACTAATGTCGAAGACAATGTGGCTGAGTATGTAGCAATGGCGGTGCAGGTGCTCTTAAAAAATCTTATATCGGCGATCGTAATGAATCGTAAACATTATAAAGTAACTTGCGATGGTTCGTTTTACTATGATGTTGGTGCACCATTAAAAGACCCTTCTCTGCGGAATACAGTTACGAGACAAAAAATTGATGATGGACCATTAGAACTTGATAAAGAAATTACTTCACCGAATTTTATGCGTCGTTCAAATGAAGACGGAGTTTTCTTATCCGCTTGTGAAGAAATGTAAGTACATATGTGAAATATCATTGCAACAATTTAACAACTATTTGTAAATTAATTTTAGTGAGCCACAAAGGCGTGAAATCATAACATTGAAGGATGCGCAAGGAGCTTTCAACGATCACAATGTTATTGCATCACACTCAGTATATTCTATTAATATGGAGCGACTGACGCAAATGTTACACTAATTTTATAAATAAAATACATATAATTTATAGTATATACAGTTTTTTTTATTCATTTATTTTAAATTTTAGTTTAAAAAACTTTATGCTTAAAAAATGAATCACTTTTGCTTTTACAATTTTGAAAATGTTGGTTGTTCCTTGGTTAATGCTGCTACAGCTGCAGTGGCGAAATCTTCGGATTGCAAGTTTAACTTATTCGTTTGTCGCTGAAAGAGGATTAAAATTTTCGAAAGTCAATTATCATAGCATAAGTGTGTATATGAAAATTGTGTCTTGCTTACTATATGATCTAAACCATCCTGATTTGGTCTAGGTTTTGAGTAAATTATATTTGCTTTTGTGGCCTGCACTGCCACTGGGCTTTTCTCAGCGATGATTGCAGCCAATTCCAATGCACCCTCGACACAAGCTTCCTTGGATGGATAAACTTTGCTAACCAGACCGAAGCTATGAGCTTCGGCAGCACCAAAACGTCTCGCAGTATAGGCAAGTTCCCGTACCAATGACTCATTCCCCACGACTTTTGGTAATCGTTGTAATACACCTACATCTGCGGCCATACCAATGTCAACTTCTTTAATGCAGAAAAATGCATCTTCACTACAATAGCGTATATCTGCAGCAGTTATAAGGTCAACACCTGCGCCGATGCAACCCGAATGTACAGCTGTTATAACAGGCTTGGGGCATATTTCCAAAGAAGATATCGAATCTTGATAGAGTTTAATTGTGTTCTCTAGCAAAGCTGCTTTTCGTGCTACATCATCAACCGCACCTAATTCTTGACTCAACTTCATACCATCGACTAAATCAAGTCCTGCACTAAAGTGTTTTCCTAAGCCTGATAAAACAACCACGCGGCAGTCAGGATTGGTGCTAAGGCTCTCAAAACACTTCTTAATTTCACTAAGAACATAAATAAATTAAGTACAAGCACCACTATGTATACTTATGTACTTACACAAACAGGTCCTTGTTGAAAGCATTTAATTGTTTTGGTCGATTAAGCTCGACATGGTAAACAAATTGTTTTGGTGTATTGATATTTAGTGTATGATATTTCAAATCTCCATCATGTTTATGCAAAATGGTACTACTCATGTTGCGCTCCACTTTTGTGATAACAGCAGTCCGTAAAGCTATAACATATACATACATATATTTGTGAATATAAACAAAACAAAAAAAGTTTTATGGTATGGACTTTGAACTTCTTATCTGGATATACCTACCGAAAGGCGAAAAATATTTATTTCCAAATGCTCTTAATGCCATACCTTTAGTAAAATTTAAATAAGCGACGTTTTATTAATTTAACAAAGAACTAAATCAAAATGAAATGTTATTGTGTGGTATTGAGAGAAATCTATCACTTGGTGTACAGTAAAACTTCGATAATGTATCAGCCGATTGTGCCTATTAACCTTTTTGGGAATCCGTTTAAATAAATTTTGCCAAAATTACCATTCTTTTGTCGCCGCGATCGAAGAAAGAATAGAGGAATTGTTAACAGCAAAGATTTATTGTGGAAATTCCAGCAGAGAATGTAAAATAATCTGCATTCTCTGATACCAGCGCTTATGAGCGCGTTGCCAATTTACTACACATGAGTTCGCACCTGTAAGCAGAGAACGTATAGCCAGAGAATGTAAAATATACGAATCTACATTCTCTGCGTATAGCATACATCATATATGATACACGAAAAGTTATAACATAAAATATACGTTCTCTGCTGTAAGTGTAAAAATTAAAAACCATTTTCAATTAATACCAAAAGGAAAATTGTTAATTACTTCAAAACAAGAAGCTATTTGTAAACATTTTTTAACATAATTTTTAATAAACATTTACAATAAAAATTTAAGCTAGTAATTAAAACATTTTTATGTTTTGAAATTTATGTATCACCCTCTAAGAAATGTCATAATGTTTTAGCAGTAAAACTTTGTGGTGTGATTGTGCTCCAATTTGCATTTTCTTTAATTAGTTATATTTTATTATTTTGGCACAAATGTTAAAAACAAATTCAAATGGTAGTTGTCGAAGTGTATCATCAAACTAAAGCAAGCATAGTCAAGATGACAAGCTCTGCAAGCACATCCAATGTGGCTAACACAACAGCCTCTGTATCTGGTGGATCTGCCACTGCTGCAGGCCCAAGCGCAAGTGGTGCTGAATCCGAATTGACTGCAAAACCAGCATACCCACGACTCTTTAATAAAATTGTACTAACGTTGGAAAACAGTCTTATCCCGGAATCAAAGCTCAATGCGACTCCATCGCATGTCGATGGCTTAGATCCAGAGACGGAGAAAGATTTACGTATACTGGGTTGCGAGTTAATACAAACGGCAGGAATATTACTTAAATTGCCTCAAGTCGCAATGGCAACAGGACAGGTTATTTTTCAACGCTTTTTTTATTCGAAAAGTTTTGTGCGATACAACATGGAAACTGTTGCAATGAGTTGCGTTTGCTTGGCGTCTAAAATTGAAGAAGCCCCACGCCGTATACGAGACGTTATAAATGTTTTCCATCATATTAAACAAGTGCGCGCTCAAAAGTAAGTACATTTACATGCCTAAGATTTTATAATATATTTTATGTAAATATATATGTTTTTGTTCCCAGGGACATAGCGCCAATGATTTTAGACCAAACATATACAAATCTAAAAACACAAGTTATAAAAGCGGAACGACGAGTTCTAAAAGAATTGGGTTTTTGTGTGCACGTCAAACATCCGCATAAACTTATTGTCATGTATTTGCAAGTCATGAAGTATGAAAAACATGAGAAACTTATGCAAATGTCGTGGAATTTCATGAACGATTCACTGCGCACAGATGTATTTATGCGTTATCAACCAGAAACTATTGCTTGTGCTTGCATATACTTGAGTGCACGAAAACTCGTAATCCCCTTGCCAAATAATCCACCATGGTTTGGAATATTTCGAGTAAGCGAAGATCATATAGTTGATATTTGTTACCGTATAATGGAATTATATATGCGGGCTAAGGTGAGAAATAGTAAATAAAAAAAAACAGTATAGAGTCATTTATAGAGTTCCTATTCCTAATATTTACAGCCAAATGTCGAAAAGCTAGACGCTGCCGTGGAGGAATTAAAAAAACGGTATATGGAATCTCGTAATAAAAACAAGGAGCAAAATACTCCGCCGGCAGTTACCACAGTAGATCGCAATAACGGCTCACATAATGCTTGGGGTGGGTTCATACAACGGGCAATTCCCTTGCCATTGCCAACAGAAAATAAATCACCAGATAAGGATTCACGCTCTCGTTCACGTTCCCGATCTCGTTCTCGAGGTTCGCGTTCACCCAAATTCACATCACGTTCACGTAGTCGCTCACGTTCCGCTTCCAATGGTATTGGCGACTATAAAAGCCGAAACAAGAAATCGCATCGTTCTCGTAGTCGCTCACGCTCCCCACCATCAAATAAGAATAAGAAGAAGTCCAGACATTATTCACGATCCCTATCGAGCTCACCACACGTAAAACATCGCAAAAGGTAACATTTAAAAAAACAAAATGATATTACTTGCCTTTATTATTCTACTCTTTGTTGCATGCTTTCAGGAAATCATCCAGAGAACATGATCGTAATGATTATTATTCCAATAAGGAGCGTATGAGCAGCAGTGATAAATATCGTGAACGGGACAAGTATCAGGAGTATAAGGAGTCCAGCAAGCATCATCATGGTTACTCCAGTAAACATCATCACGGATATTCGAATCGAGGATCATCACATCGCGGTGGTCAGAAGCATCGGTCAAGCGATCATGAACGCTCCCGCGATCGTAAGAGGTAAAAATGTTCTCACCTATGTACCTATGTAGATTTGTGACTACGATCCTATATATGCATATGCATTGTGTTTAATTCGCTTTTGTTCACGTACATTAAATAACAATTTATTATAATCAAAAATAGTGAACGAACTTAATATTATATTAAACAAGATATCAATAATAAACACCTAATTTTTGAAAAGCGAAGCAACTTGTATATTTACTGGGTCTTCGAAACTATCCAAGCTTTATTTGCTCCCTTAAAGGGTGTATGTTTCGTAAAAAACAAAACGCCGGAATTTAATTCTCATGGCAACTCTAATGGTCAATTGTCAAAGAATAAAATATCAACATATTTGTAAACATCAAACATCCTAGTTAGTATTCCATTGAAACATATTTTTTAACAAAACACATAGCTTAAACTTAAAGTAATCAAGACAGCGAAGTTATGTCAGAAGCTCTTGTAATTGATGGTAGTTACTTGGAAGGTGGTGGGCAGATACTGCGCAATGCACTTAGTTTGAGTTGCATTCTTCGCCGGCCTATCAGAGTTACAAACATACGTGCCAATCGTCCTAATCCAGGGCTTTCCAATCAGCATTTATTTGGTTTGAATCTTTTACAAAATATAACGGCAGCACGCGTTAAGGGCAATCATATCAAATCGACTGAGGTAGAGTTTTATCCAGGCGACATTACTTCTGGGCGATATACTGTGGATACACGAACAGCTGCGAGCGTTGCATTAGTGTTGCAAGCGGCACTGCCTGTATTGATATTTGGAGCCAGCAAGTCGGAATTGGATCTAATAGGAGGAACAAATGTGGGTATGGCCCCACAAGTGGATAGTATGACAGAAGTTTTACGTCCAAATTTGGAATGGTTTGGAATATCGTTTGATTTTGATTTATTCAAGCGCGGCTATTATCCTCGTGGAGGAGGGCATTGTAAAGTACTAGTTCCGGCTGTACGCAGTTTGAAAGCAGTGAATTTAGTTAAATTCGGTGTTGTAAGTGAAGTATGTGGTTGGTGTTTCGTAGCAGGCAGGTTACCATTGCGTATAGCGGAAGATATGAAACAGGCTGCAGAACGAGAGTTGCAACAAATATGTCGAAATACGCCACAATTGGAAGCATACCAAGAAAGTTTAGAAATTGCTCGTGATAATGGTTCTGGTGTAATTTTGAAAGCGGTTACTACGGAAGGATGTATCATCGGATCATCAGCGTTGGGCGAACGGCAAGTTAATGGTTATGCTTTGGGAAAAAGTGCAGCTGATGAATTAGCGAAATATTTGAAGAGTGAAATTTGTGTAGACAGTCATGTGCAGGACCAGATAATTATATATATGGCTCTTGCTCATGGGATATCAAGAATACTTACAACACCTCTCACCCAACACACTCGTACGGCCATGCATGTCGCCAATCTAATGACTGGCGCTAAGTTTGACGTTGAAGAAATCGAATCAAATAGTCGTATCATATTATCTTGCCATGGCATTGGATATGAAAACAAACAATTGTAAATCTAATGTATTTATTGTTTTTAAATTATAAAAACGAGACTTTACTTAAATTTAGCTATTCTAAATTCGTCTGAATATTGCCAAGAAATGGTGGCCCTTGTTACGCACAACCTTTGCACCCTCTTCGCTACTCTGATATAGTTTTGGTGTAATTGGATCGGCTTTCTAAAAATAATAAATACAACTCTATTGTTCCATATACAGAAGAAGAAGAAAAAATTTAATCTTACCTCCTCATCACTTGGTAATCTCTCGTATAGAGGATGTTGCTCCATATGAAGCACAATCCAGTTGTGAAGATCTTCAACATCAGTCATTGTATAAACAAGTCCACCTTTTCGTAATACATATGCGTACTCCGAGAGGAGGGCTTGATTTATTATACGCCACTTATGCTTAGCGCGCTTGAAATGTGGATCAGGATAAAGGAAAAACATTTTGTCTAATTGTGACTTGCGGAAATAATTTGGTAGATACTTCATGGCATTTGTACGTAAGCAAGCTATGTTGTTATATTTTCCTGGATGCAAAGTGCGCAGCGCTTTTATGCGATCCATAACATAATCGGAAACCTTTACACGAATTTCTAGTCCGATTGCAAACCGGTCGGGAAACATTTCACCAAGAGTAACAAGAAAGCCGCCATACCCGCAGCCAATATCTGCGAACTCGACACTTTGGTCAGATGTTATATTTGGATACAACTCTTGCCAATCAACATCATCCGGGTGTGCGGGGCTGCGATAATATAATAAAGTTCATTAAATATAATATAATATTTTTTGAATGAAATATACATATGTATGTATGTAGGTGTAGCGTACTTACTAGTCGAAACAATGATCAGCAATTGGATTTGAGTGCGCCCTTTGCCGGTAATATCGCTTTTGTGGCAGTGATATACTGCCTGTTTCCTGAACCATGTTTCGTTTGTTTCAAGGCTATTTCCAAATCATAAACCAAATAGCCGTGTGCAAGAAGCACTTCATAAACAAAAAGATATGCACGTTTCAACGGAGACCGTACTTTATGTCACTTTTTGACATTTCGTGTGGCAATGTAAACAAAAACACGTGTGGAGTAAAGTGGTAAAGGAGTGCGTTTCTCTGTTTAACTATTAAAGTTAAAACAAATCTTAAAATTTAGAAATAACATAAACAGAAGTTTATGTAGTTGTAGTGCATTTTAAATGGCTGAACTTGTGGAAGTACTTTTCACCAGTGACTCGAACGAATCACAAGCGTCTATTACAGCATGGGACTACAAAACGGGGACTAACTTGATGGTGTACAAAGCAGGTGGTGTGATACAACCACGCGCTATATCCGTACTTGATTTCCATTATATCTTAGCAGCTAATAGTACTAAACCTCTTCTCCATGTTTGGCCAATTAACTCACAACAACAAGTTACTTCTGTTCGCTTTGTGCTACCTGGTCGCGCTAATTCGATGGCGCTTTCACCAGATATGCTTTATCTTGTTGCTGCGATACAAGAGAACATTTATATTTGGCATTTACCATCTGGTAAAATGCTAAACACAATTTCAAAGCATTTCCAGCCCATTAACTGCATTCGTTTCGATGAAGATTCACATTTTGCTTCAGCTGGTCAAGATGGTAGTGTAATGTTATGGAATTTGACAACTGTGTGTGCACGGGACGACGACAATCAAACACCAGTGTACACCTTCACCGATCACGGTCTGCCAGTAACAGATGTACATATAGGATTTGGTGGTATTCGTGCGCATATGATAACCGTGTCACTGGATCGCACCTGTAAAATTTATGATTTGTTAATTGGGGCTTTGCTTTTGAATGTCGTATTTGCTGAATCATTACACAGCGTTACTACAAATACTTTAGAAACAGCTGTATACGTTGGCACAGGCGACGGTAATATTTACCGATTTAATACTGATGCTGCTGCGGGAAACAAAGTAATACAAAATGTTATATTAAATATTTCATTATTTAACAATTGATTTTTCGATAGGAATTACATGTAGAAAAAGAGCACTCTAATATTTTTAAAGGACATAAAGAAGGCACCGCAGTTACTTGTTTGGCTTTATCATTTGATGGCCAAACCCTGGTATCTGGTGGTCAAGACGAACAAGTATGTATTTGGGACGTTACCAGTAGACAGCTGATAAAGCGTATGCAGCATAAAGGACCTGTAACAAATGTAAAACTACGTCTTTCCAACCCAGATATATTTAAACCAGAAAATAAACCACCCAAAAAATTCAGTAGCAATCTGCGACGCATGCTGGACCCACCTGAGGTTGATGAACAAGAACGCATAGAAGTTTTAATCACTGAAGCAAATGCTGATACCAATTATGAATATTGGAATACATCAGAATATCCTTTCGATCAAGATGAGCCGTCCACCTCCAAAGCATCAACCAATAACACCCCTACTGCTACGGCGACAGATGAGGAAGCGGCAAAAGAGATTGAGCGATTAAGGGCCGAAGTACAACATTTAAAACTTGTTAATAAACAATTATTCGAAGTCTCCGCGAAACAATTATTGGAAACAAAAAAATAACTTTAGTTTGTACTACTCTTATAATTGTTGTCAAAACGAATAAATTTAAGATAAATTAAACAAAAGCAAGCAAATGTAAAAGACAATTTCACGGCCTCTAATACTTTTGTGTGCACCTTCCGTTGCGATGTGCCCATTTAGCGCATCTTAATCTCCGACATTGGTATTTTCATCAGCATCGTTGTTTTCTGTTTTGCTACTGATATTTGTTGCTGCCAAAGCCGCAATTGTTTCTTTTTCCTTGTCCTGTGCTATTTGTTGACGTATTTCACGATTAGAGTCTAGCAGAACTCTTAGCTGAGCAATAATATCATCGGTGCGCTGCTCAAAAAAATCGAGAGCACGAGTTAGTTCATCCAGGCTCTCGTTTACATCCTCAACCTCTGTATAATTAATATTTTTAATTAACAAGCGTGTTTTAACATTTCATTTCAAAAATTTCCGTCCATACCTCTCAGATCAGATTCGTCTGCTTTTGAAGCGGAGTTGGCGTCCACGGGATCGTCGATGTTTTTAGGAGTCATTTTGTATACTTTGTTGCTGCTTTGGTCAGCTGACTTCTCCATTCCTTTTCAATAAGATTAATCTACTTTGTTTTGTACCAGTTAGCTTTGTTGACGTTTTTTTTCTTCTCTCTTTTCACTAATGAATATGTCAGTTCGGTAGGTACATTCAAACAAAGGCTTAATAATTAATTCCGGAGTAATATTATTTTAAAAGTTTTAATTTGGAGTTCATTATATTTTTTTGATAAATAAAAATATTACATTTATTTTTCTTATCGTTTATAAATAGAATAAGAATTTCATTACGTATGCGATTTGGAACCTAAATAGTAAAATTCAATAACTAAAGTTTTCATATGGAATGTAAATAGAGTTGGAAAGTAAAATTATTATGTATTAAAATATTTATTTATTTAAACAAAACACAATTTATAGTAAAAAATATTTCTTCTCGTGAATGTTTACTTATTCCTGATATGTGGCATCGCTTTGAGGGCATTTGTACAACTTTGTGTGTTTATTTACAACCAGCTGTTTTGTGAATTTCATACATAATTTTATTTTGTCGGCATTTTATTTAAAGAAAGAAATTAAGACAAATATCAGGTACGTAAGGACAGTATACGCACTACTTACTTTTTTTTTATAAATCTCTCAAATATTATATTATTTGCTTATTTGATATATACTTACGTAGTGCAATAAAGCGATCTTATACTCCGCATAAGATAGTTGAATCTACTTAACTCGGGGAGTTGGATTCCAATAAGGATTCCTTAGATTATGTTTAGCATTAGCACTTAGTAAGAAAAGTAAAAAAAGTATATATTTAATATATGCATACTTATACAACTTTTATGTGCCAACGACAGTGTAAACCTTCGTCTAATAAATTATCAAAACCAAAATATAATATCTGCTTTAAACAAAAATTTCTACAAAAACTTTCTGCAGGAATATACCTACATTTGCTATTATAACTATCAACATGAATACTATGACAAATGTGAAGAATGTTCTTAAACTCAGTGCAACTGACTTAAAAGGTGGCAAGAAATCATGGCATGATATGTATAAGGATTCAGCATGGATCTTTGTTGGTGGTTTACCATACACACTAACGGAAGGCGATATAATCTGTGTATTTTCACAGTATGGCGAAATTGTGAATATTAACTTGATAAGGGATAAAAGTAGTGGAAAGTCAAAAGGTTTTTGTTTTATTTGTTACGAAGACCAACGTTCTACTATCTTGGCAGTTGATAATTTAAATGGTATTAAACTACTTGGGCGTACAATACGCGTGGATCACGTCGCCGATTATAAACCACCAAAAGAGAATGAAAAAATGGACGAGGAGACACTTAGATTGTATATAGAGGGCTGTGCACCAAAACCAATGGTGCAGAAACAGGAACGAACATAAAGATTTACATTCCGCAGCACATCTTTTTAAAGATAATATATTTACCGAATATAACAGTTAAATAAAACATAGTAAATATATAATAATGTAGGTAGCGTGTTGTCGCACTCAAATATGTCCAAATATAAACTTTGGTCACTACGCAAAATTACCTCGTATTATTGCTTTTGCTAGATGCCAAAAAACAATATCAAAATAAAAATTTAATTAAAAGTCTACATTTTAAATTCATATTTTATTTTATTTTTATAAAAATGCTTACTTCCAATTATAAATTAGACATTTTCAGACTTCCTTGAAGTAAAATTTTGTTACATTAAACAAAAATGGTTTATCACAACGTTTCTAGAAATAAATGATTCTAACGTGCCATTACTGGGCAGACGAATAATATAGTAGTTTTAATTATACTTTTTACACAAAACATTTGAAGATAAAAGTTTATATTTATGTATGTATGTATGTATATATGTAGGTCGATTAGCGATAGTCATATTAAAAATAAACAGCAAACTTTTTACAAATCTATTATTTCCATTAAAACCGAAGTAGTAAAGTTTAAAGCAGAGAGATCTGTCCAAAATATAAAATATGCCTATCTATTGATTTTACGATGTTTTTTAATTCCTGTAAAGAGAAATCATAGAATCAGTATGATTTGTTGTAATCGAAATTAACATTGAAAATTACGCCACATACTTGCATTACAATGTCGACCATAAAAGCCGCGATCACATTTACATGTTTTATTCGCCGTACAGACACCGTGCTTGCAAGGACGCCTACAGGTTGAGCGTTGTATGCGCTCGATCTCGCAATGGTTGCCCAGCAATCCGCTTGGACAACGACAAATATTGGTGCCTATGCAACGACCGCCATTTTTACAAGGAATTACACATTTAGCTAAAAAAAATTTAGAATAACATACAAATAAAATTAAAAGTTATAGATATATGTGTGCACTTACAAAATTCGCAGTGCAGTCCATAGTAACCTTTTGAACATTGGCATTTATCCTTCTGTATGCATTTGCCACCATTCAAGCATTTTTCAGAGCAGATGCCTGAAAAATATTAATAATTTACTAAAAATAAATGCGGCTGAATTACATATTTTCAATAATATAAACTTAATAATTAAGTAGTTGATTGGTATAAAAAAATCTAGGTTTGCGCCACCTTCGTAAAATGAAAAAAAATTGTATATAATTAAACTCTACATTCTTAATATGCACAATTTGAAGATTTCGGTAAATTTATTATTCCTGAACAGCTAGATCATATTCTAATTGTTGAATGTTGTTGTGAACGGAACCAGATTTATATATCGGGTTAGGAATCGCTAACATAATAATATTAATAAACAACTCAAAAAAATGAGTTTCAAAACGTTTAAACGTAAAAATATTACAAAATTTGCTTATAGAAGTTTGAACTCCACTTTTATGTTGCTTTCACTTTACATAGTATCTTTTAGGCGCGTTATTAAAGCAGATAACGGTTTCATTTGTGACATTTCATAAATCAAAATGATTTTATTATGATTTAAAATTTTTGAGTGGTATTTATTATTTTTTTTTTTTGTTTTTCTTTCCTTTCCATTTCTCATTCACTCAGTATTCAAGCATGCTGCGCCTCTCGAACATATCAAACAACAGTTGGCGCCTCATACGGTGCCGACCGATACTGCAACAGTCTCAGCAAAATGTCGCAACTGAGCATGGAAGTAAAGAAAATCCAGAATCCACCACGACACTACGTAAGCGGCCCACTAAATTGACAGATGAGATCATACGTGTTGATCATGCTGGTGAATTGGGTGCCGATCGTATTTATGCCGGTCAAATGGCGGTTTTAGGTAAAGGTCCGATGGGCAAGACTATTGCGCACATGTGGGAACAGGAGAAGGAGCATCGCAGAAAATTCGAAACACTCATACAAGAGCACAGAGTGCGACCCACCATTATGGTGCCGATTTGGAATGTAGCCGGCTTTATGTTGGGAGCGGGTAAGCGCTGCATAGAAATTAGCGAATTTGCTGCTATTTTTGATTACAAATCATTTTAAGAGTTTCATTGCCTTAGGCACTGCATTGCTGGGTGAAAAAGCTGCCATGGCTTGCACCGTTGCTGTGGAGACAGTTATCGTGGAGCATTACAATGAACAATTGCGACAAATTATGGAATCCCCCAAACCGGATAAGGTGATTGAACGCATTAAAAAAACCACAAAAAAAATCATGTGTTTGTATTCTATTTTCCTACGTTTACTATACTTTCAGGAACTCTTGGATACAATAACAAAGTTCCGTGATGAGGAACAAGAACATCATGATACGGGTATTAATTGTGGCGCTGAACAGGCACCCTTTTATAAAGCAATTACGGAAGTTATCAAAATCGGCTGTAAGACAGCTATTGCTATTTCGAAACGTATTTAAAAATGTAGTATTTGTTCTTTACATATATGTATTTATGTATGTAAATATTTGTATTGTATAAAAGTTGTTTTTTAAATAAAATAATTGTTATGCACAAATACACTGACTTACCTCCTTCGCAGTATGTACCCTGATAGCCGTCGGGACAGGTGCAGACCGATGGTGCTGTGCAATTACCGCCATTTAAACATTGTGTAAAACAAAAGGCCGTTTGACAATATTGACCCGTATAGCCTGCTTTGCATTGGCAAATTTTATTATGATTACAAAAACCATTATCACCACATTTCAAATTACACTCCGGGTCCGGACCTTAAAATTATTCAAATCAAACGTAAAAACACAAAATATCAATATAAACTACAACTTAAATGTACGTTTGTACTTATATATGTAAATGTAGGCTTACTAAAAGCATTGGCAAATAAGCAACAACAATAATATCGGATATATAAAAAATTGCATAAACAAAAGCAGTTTAGCGCCGCATTTAGACATCTCAGGCACTCTACAAATCTCGACAAGCAGTTCTTAATGTATATTTACATATATGTACATATGTTTATATGTATAGTATGTGTGATAGCTTTAGGCATTAGTTTATATGTATTTAGTAATTAATAAGCGTAGCGTTAAATAGTTGGGGTAATGCAATAAAAACGCCAGCCAATGATGTGTTTGTGTTTCAACCGCAGTGGGAATGTGAGTTACTACTTTTCGACATTTAGCAATATAATACAAAACAATATAGTTTGAGTGATTTACATTTTACTCGGCAGAATTCTGCCGCTACAACAACAACTCGTACCCGCGATGGTCGGGTCTACGTAACCGGAACGGGCCTGCATTTTTATACGGCCAAGGACTTTAAACTCGACAGAACTCTAACGCTAACACAACAACAACAACATAGATTTACATTTGTGCACATTTCTATTTATAAATTTTTACTCCCGGAACAGTTGATTAAATTTTTTGTTAACGTTTGTTTATAAATGTTTTAAACGGTGGGCGCTCTCTAATAGATGCAATGCACCTACCATACCAATACTATCTGACAGTAAAGGAAAAAGGAGGGGGAAATCGGGACAATTACTCTCGGGCTAGTAGTCCTCAGTGAACGGGGTTATGCAACAATTTTTTGCAGATCTGTCATCTGATCAAATTTGACTCGGACTGATCCACATCAACGGCGCGCGCAAACCGAATAGATAAACAAATTTTTCCTATATTGGTACAACATTTTTTCTTGTACGTGTAAAGTTTGCTCTCCATATATAATATCAATTATTGTGAGTCGAATGGAATCATAACTACGGAATCGTTGAAAATGTTGTAGAAGGGTTTTGGGGCATTTACTTTATAACAAACACAAATATTTGAGAGAGACAACTTTAAAATCTCTTATGGTTCGACTCAAGCTTTTTGGTTAATGTTTTGGGTATGAAGTGCGTCAATGCATGACTCGTACCAAGATACCAGAAGCTTTTACAGAAACGTAATGACCCGAAGCCTATACGGTAAACTTAAAATTACGTGGGAATATATATATTTTTTTGTCAGTGCGGGTCAAATTTGATCGGATGCAGCGGACAGCCTAATAATCTGAAGCGAATTCGGGAAACTTAAAATGAAATTACGAGAATGATTTATTTGAGCTATCTATAGATGCATAAATAAAAAAAGTTACAAAATGAGGCTCTTCGAGCATACAGTTGACATTACATAGTAAATATCGATGAGGTTATGTTTTGCAGACTTATCGATCTATTTTTGTCTTCTTAAATGCTTATGGTTCACACGAGTATTTAATGTTCGGAACCTTATGAACTAAGCTTTTCTCTAATTTCAATTTTTTGTTTCAAATAGCACGAGTTCATAGAATTGCCGTCAACCGTAGAGGTCCTATTGAAAATGGTGTAATCTTAATCATCAGGTATATTAAATTAAGCCAAAATGAAAAAAAAACTTGATTCGAAGTAAAAGTATAATCTAATAATTTCAACACTCCCACTGCGGTTATCGGGAAAATAAATTTCGAAAAAAGTATGTATATTAGAAGCCAATGTTTTTTTTTATAGTTTGTATGTATGTATTTTTGTAAAGGAAGCATTTCTTTTTATACACTACCTTGCGAAGATGTTAGTGTAGAGATGGAAGCGTTACCTCTGTGTGCGCATTCCTTTTTGAAATTCAAACGTATCGGCGTGCCAGGCAACAGCTTCTCTCGACGATTGTGTATGGACAAACCGATTGTGAACATAGCCGTCCCTGAATTATTGTGAACGCACGGCATGAAAATACTGAAATCTGTAAATAAAAAAAAAATATAGATTGATTGAAGATGATGTAAAGCTTATTATTAAAAATATTCTTATTTACCACTACAACAGTGCATTTTCGAAAATACCTTGCTCCTAACTGTAAACGGTTTAATTTACTTTAAAATGGGCGAAACCATAAAGAAGACAGAAAAAGACAATGAATCGGTTACAATAGTGTCAACCTAGAGGTTGCAAGCATTGAAAAAAAAGCTGAGCTTTATACTCGTATATACCCACAGAACACCTTTTAAAGGCTTCTTTTAACATAATTTTTAAATAAAACCGGAATATTATGCTCAAAACCTCCAAGTTGTGAATGAAACACTAGAGAGACATTTTTCTATGGTATCGGAGCTACGCTAATCCTTAATTATATTATATTTCAGTTCCTTTTTGAATACGTTAAAATGGCAAAGTGCACCTTATATAAATTAATTCGTCAAGATTTTTGGTAAATTTTAAGGGTTTTATTCATTTGTAAATAAATAAAAAAAAAAAACGTTTTTGTGCTTATATATTGAATGTAGATATATTTGAGAATATTCTCCGAAATTTTTAAATTGTTCCAGCAAATAGTTTCGAAGATATAAGCTTATTTGTAAGGATTTTTTAACTAGTGTAATTAGCTTCTACAACTTTAAACGTGTTTTTCTCGAAACCTTGTTTTCAGAACCGGTGAGAAAAATTTTTCCAAAACGGCTAGACTGATTGATTTAAAACTTCCAGATTTACTCTTCTTCTAAGATATACTGGTCAGATAAAGATCGAAGGTATAAGATTTTTGATACTAATTTCGATTTTTTAAGCCACTTTAAGGTTTAAGTTTTTCACAAAAACGACTTTTTGTCAAAAATCAATTTTTTCACTAGTTCTTCGATCATTAGCTGTATTCATCTAAAGTAATAATACATTTTTTGGTTTCTGGATTTAAGATAATTTTAGCAGAAACATCTTCGTCACCGCAAGACCACTTTTTTTTGGAGGTGCCTCTAGAGATCGGCTACAGGATCAAGGGAATCCAAAAATTTTCAAAATGAATCGCCCATTATTAAAGTACAATGCATTGAATATTGCAAATGTGCAATCTTTTTATTTATTTATTAAATAAAATCGCTTAAAAATATGTATGAAAAATTGAATTTTTTTGCTTTTGAGTGGATAACACCCTTTAAAGCATAATGATATTTGCTTAGTGATAGAGATAGTGATAGTAAAAGTAAGTGCCAATCTATATCTTTAAAAACTTTGGGTCACCTATCGGAAATTAAAGAGACAACTTTTTTTCCAACCGAGAACTAATATTCCAATTAATAAGGTCGGTCTTACCGACTGCGAAAATAGTAATTAACCCTTATTACGAACATTATGGGTTAAGAATAATTAAATTGATTTTATTTAATATTTGTACAATAACTGATTACCTTTTTCTTCAGCCGGTATGCGTCCTTTTTTCGCAATCGAAAGCTTGGGATCCTTCAAAACATTATGATCCAGGGAAATTAAACGATCGAAGTGATAAAAATATTTTCTGCTGCCCGATTTCCACGTGAAATTCACATAGTTCACTTCGGCGGGTATAATCAAGAATTTATAGATATTGATTTCAGGTAAATTAAACACGTGACCATTTTCAATGGCATAGATGCGACCATGCGAACCGAATCCTTGTGGAAAGAAAAGTGCTTTAATCTTGAAAATCAGATCGGTTTTTTTTTTTATGGAAACAAATACACTTTTGGAAGAGTCCCTGCCATACTACGATTGGTGAGCGTGGCGGAGATTCCCCCATAGCAATACATTACCACTTAGCATATTCAACTGCTGTTCATTGATCCACAATGACAGCTTATTGTCATGCTGACGATGCTTTTTGCGATGCCCCTGATGGTGTCCATTCCCCAGATTTCCGGCACCTCCACCACCGCCCTCATCTTCTAAACTCCTAAGCTCGTGATCGGCATCGTTGGCGTGCGCTTGCTGCCTTTTGCATTCGATCAAACTACTCCAGCAAAATAGCAGCATCAGCGATATTAGATAGAACCACTTGATTGCTGACATCTGTGTATGGTAAAACATTTTTCTCTGCAATGACATTAATACTATATATGATGAGTATGCAACTTTGGATCTCATATACTCGACTAAGTATAAATACTTAACGTATATATGTATGTATGTATGTATTGTATGTAGGCAGAGTTACATTGTTGCTGTGAGCATTATGCATGCTGTGGCAATAGAAAAAACTATTTGCTATAAATGGCGAAACGACTGTTGCAGTCAATAACTGTTATTGTCAAGTGCTGTTATAAATATATGAAGTGGTTTTCTTGCGAAATACTACTTTATCTTGTGGCTGTAATGACTTTTTTAGAATCTTTTCGCGGAATAATTCGTTACTGGCAGCCCGGAATGCCTGCTATAAAATGCAGAAGGACAGTGGGATTAGAAGTTTGCGCCGTGCAAGCTGCTTAATGCGTGTTGTATGTTATGATAAGTACGTATGTGCTCTATAATATGATCACCTTTGCTCTATATGGTATTATGGAATTTTAATCTTCTAAGTTAATATAAGTCTATAATAAAAATATATTTAACAAACAAATATTTTTCTTAGAAATTCTAAGTATAGTCTTCATAATTGCATTACGTCAACTAATATACGAGTATATACAAGTAATATAGACCTTTAACTCTGCGAAAGGTTGGCTGAGCTTCATCTCCCATTTGTTGTGTGCGCCTTGATGTTATCACACAAATATAGCAACATAAAAATTTTTACGCCTGCTCAGATTGTCATCTCTGTCGCATAACAAATATTCTTAAGTTAAAATACCCACTCTTTTGCCTTTTTATGTTTCCTTCTTATGTTATACTCTGAACAGAGTATATCAAGTTTGCCACGATATTTGTAAAACCCAGAAGGAATCGTCGGAGACCATATAAAGTATTGTATATATAACATATTATATATAAAAATGAATAGCTTGACGAGCTGAGTCGATTTAGTTTTTCTGTCGCCTGTCTGTATATACGCGAACTAATAACTCAATTTTTGAGATTTCGATATGAAATTGTGCACACGTTTTTTTCTCCCCAAGGTGCTGCACTGATCCACCAAGATGTTTTCACGAAAATTAGCAAGGATTATTGTCCGAGACAAGTTCGAACATATCGGACCACTATAGCTGTCATCGAAACTGACCGATAAAAATTAAGTTCTTGTATGAAATATAATATTAATCTTATGGTCCTAGGCAAAGCTACAATAACATATAGATGCCATTCAAACTAACCGATTAAAATAAAGATAAAATTATTCATAAAATATATTTTTATACCCTGAATATACCCTTTAAGTTTGCCACGAAGTGCCCTAGAAGGGGTCGTCGCAGACCCTATAAAATATGTAGGTACATAAAAGATCAGCATGATGAGCTGAGTTGATTTAGTCATGTCCGTCTGTTTGTATATATACACACTAGTGACTCAGTTTTTAAGCTATCGATTTGAAATTTTGCACCTGTCCTTTTCTCATCAAGAAGTTGCACATATGTCGAAACGGCCGGTATCACATATACTAGACTAGTCATATAACCAAAACAAAAGTTCAAAATCGATCTATTGGCAATGACTCCAAGATGTGTATAGATATTGCGGCAAGCGGAATGAGATGAAAATACTTCATCAACTCGTCAATATTCGTCCTTGTTTTAAGAGCTTTGAAGTACGCGAACAAAGATTTCTTTCAGTGACTGAAAAACTAGTCTGATTATTTTAAACTATCTCGCCCAGAAATAAGTGAATATTAGAATAAATGCGATTGAAAATTGCAATATTATGAAAGTGAAACCTAAATTTACGAAGTAGTAAAATGAGAATTTATATAATATATACTTGTATAAGTTTTTCATGCACAAATACAGCAATAAGAAACCGAAAATCTAGACCAATTCATTCGAAAATCGGAGATAAGCCAAGCAAGTATGCAAAGAATAACAACAAAAATACCCCATTAATACTCAAGCAAGTTAAAAAGCAACAAGCATAACTGCTCGCAGCGATCTTCAAAGTGTAATAAAGAAGTCTACGCTGCTTAAGGCGATTGGTGCTCTCTTTGAATGAAAGAAACCAACAGAGACAAGTCTGGGAACGGCAAGCAATTAAAATTAATTATGCTTGTGTAGTGAAGTTGGGTTGGACGTGATTATTGTTTTGTAGACTTGTGAAGATCACAATGGTCATTGATGGGCATGGGTGTTGACAAGCGACTAATTTACTTTTTAATAGCCAAGTGTAATTAAGAAGTAATTAAACTGAAGTTATCGCCGGAAGTAAGTGCATACTTAATTTGTAAGTGTGCTACTCGTAGGATCTATGGAATTTGATATCACGAGAATGCCTATTAAAGCGTATATGAGTGTTGGATATTTTGAGACCACTTTTGATGAAGCGGTTTGATTTGCATAGCCGTTGGTTTTAGTGCAGGAAAAGGAATGCAATCTAAGCAAATTTGACCCACACCGGTCCATTTAAACTGGGCGCCCAAATCGAATTGATGAAATTATATTAGTATAAACTTTTTTATGTTCGTGTATTTGGCAGCAGTTTATTTACGACGCGAAAAGTTTATCTGACGATTTTTGCCATGGGCAAAAAATTGAACAACGAGTTTGCTTGAAATAGTGTGTTTACAATGAAATCACGGCTACGAAATCGTTGCAAATATTGCAAAGTGTTTTGTGGAGTCTACTTTATTAATAACTCAAGTATTTGGTTGATACAAGACATTAAGTGAAAGTCGCAAAATCATTGAAAACTTGCCACAGGCAAGTCGTACATCCATCTCTGTTAATGACAATAACATCGAAAAGTTAAAGAATCAGTGCTTGCAAATCGTCGTGTTGAAGAATCTCATTATCTCTTATGAATCAACTCAACTCAATGCTAGAATCGTACTAAATGATCTTTCGCAAAAACGACGTCGAGTAGAAAACGCAAAAGAGAAGCATCAAGCGTAAGCTGGGTAGTTTGAGATGCTTAGCTGAGGATTCTACATTGATCAAATGTATTACTACTAGTCACGCGACGTGGGTTTGTTAATATGACTTCAAAACTGTTCAACAATTTAGCGAATGACGCTCCAAAAAAAAAAACGAAACCAAAATAAAAAACAAAATTCGTTTAAGGCACCGAAGGCCATCCCAGCCGAGTCCTATAATGAGTTTATGGAAAATTGGATTAAGCTCTGTTAGCTCGTATTGGCGCAGGAATCTAGTTTAAAGATGATATTAAAGAGTTAAAGAGTTAATGCAATTCGACAAAAACGCGTCTAAAGTTTTAGGTGCTGAAGCTGATTGACAGGAATATTTCGACACTACAGGGAGTTGGACGGCGAAAACATTTGTTTCCGCTATTTTATTTAAAAATAAAAGTTTTTGAAAATCCTAGACATGCCTAAATAATAAATAAGGCTGAATTTTGACCTTTTAAACTGAGTTCGCTAATGTTGATGTACATAGGTATTCGCCAATCAGGTCATAACGGTTTTATCTATAACCATTTCGAATTTGTTTGAGATCGAATTCAATATTGGTCAATTCCTTGGGTATTTCCATTCCATTTGACAATGTAAATTTCAAGTTCTGCATTATGAGCATCATTCAATAAACAAATGAATACACTTTGAATTAAAGGATCCGTAAAACTTCCTCACAAAATATCAGTTTCAAGTTATTAAATTCGAAGTCCAATATTTAAAGTAACTTGTAACAGACATACGCGGCGATATTAGAAACCACTAATTTTGTATTCATTTATCAGAAATCAATAATATATGAGAACGGTATTTCTTTACTGCCTCGCAATTTGACTTCGTTAAGTGTCTTCTATCCAAACCCTCAAAAGCTTATATTCCACACTCGTTAGATTAAATTGAAAAAAAACACATATTTTTATTACACATGTAATCATAATGACCGGTAAGTAATCAGCTACCCGAACCGGCACATTCAATATTCCATTAATTATCACTTAACCACTCCGACATCAACACCTGTAGGCGGCACAAATGCAACCAGCGCTCACACCACAATATAACAGATGCACAATATCTGCTCAACGTAAACGGCAACGACACAATCATCGGACACTAACTTCCAGCAAACAATTTGTTAGCTCTTTACGATTATTGACTTTCTCACACCTTATTACTAAGTGAGCCAGCTCACTGCTCCATTTGCCCGACGCTTGACTGCTGTGCAATGCGAATGCGGACAGACGATTGACGACGTTGAGAATACGACCAAGCCGTCGACGACAACAACGGCAACCAGTGGATCTGCACTTTTAACAATACAAGTGGCAAGAGAGCCAATGCAACAACAGCAAGTATAATCGAATAAAAGAAGAAAGAAAAAGTCAATGTTACAACAGCGGGACAGAAAATGGCAACAACGTCAACAAAAAGGCTCAACGAGCAAATTGAGGCAACGCTTAAATGGACAAACACCTCAATAAACACCAAGGCGTCGAACAGCGGGCAGTTCGAACCGAAACACCGACAACATATTGACGAACCAAAACAACAAAAAATGCAGCAAAAAAGTCTTTCATACGCATCTGGTATATACTCGTATGTGCGTATGTATGGTATGTGTAAGTGAGAAACTTATAACGTATGAAGCGGCGGATGAACGTCTGGGTAGCGCTGGACAGGCAGCTGGACAACTGAAAGGGTCCAACATATTACATACATACATATGTGTGTGTGTGTGCTTATATTTAGCAAGGTTTAATGCAATGTTATGTAGGTATGTCTACATTTATGGGATCTACTAAGTAGCAGCAGAAAGGTTGTGCAACTGCGCTAATAATATCGGTCTCATGCAACATCAGCAACGAAAGTGACACGCTGTGTTGGAAAAGAAGATAATGTTTCAGGAGAAAAGATCGACGCAAGCTTTGTTAATTTCACTTAGGAGCAACTAATCAATATGTAGAGGTTCGGTTGATGAGCACAAGGTGTTCCAATGTAGAATTCGCTAAGGGGCGAGACTATACCACTGACTGGATTAGTATAT